ATCACACCAAGAGTAGGAACCAATCATATCATGCCAATCACACCAACAGTAGGAACCAATCATGTCATGCCAATCTCACCAACAATAGGAACCAATCATGTCATGCCAATCACACCAACAGTAAGAACCAATCATGTCATGCCAATCACACCAACAGTAGGAGTCAATCATGTCATGCCAATCTCACCAACAGTAGGAACCAGTCATGTCATGCCAATCACGCCAAGAGTAGGAACCAATCATGTCATGCCAATCTCACCAACAGTAGGAACCAATCATGTCATGCCAATCACACCAAGAGTAGGAACCAATCATGTCATGCCAATCACACCAACAGTAGGAACCAATCATGTCATGCCAATCACACCAACAGTAGGAACCAATCATGTCATGCCAATCACACCAACAGTAGGAACCAATCATGTCATGCCAATCTCACCAACAGTAGGAGTCAATCATGTCATGCCAATCTCACCAACAGTAGGATCCAATCATGTCATGCCAATCACGCCAAGAGTAGGAACCAATCATGTCATGCCAATCTCACCAACAGTAGGAACCAATCATGTCATGCCAATCACACCAACAGTAGGAACCAATCATGTCATGCCAATCTCACCAACAGTAGGAACCAATCATGTCATGCCAATCTCACCAACAGTAGGAACCAATCATGTCATGCCAATCACACCAACAGTAGGAACCAATCATACCAACAGTAGGAACCAATCATGTCATGCCAATCATACCAACAGTAGGAACCAATCATGTCATACCAATCACACCAACAGTAGGAACCAATCATACTAAATTTCCAGAACTTTTATGGACCAGGACGATATTGATGACGATGAGAAATTTATTACAAATGGTTTATACGAAAGTGAGTTCCCGCCAAACACACACCGAAACTACGACGTTGGTACAACGTTCGAACAAGTTTTAACACCTCCTAACCAGTTATAACAACCAATATAGCAAGTTGTAACAACGTTCTAATACGTCATAAACACGTTAAGCCAAGATGTAACAACTTTATTACAAGTTGTAACAAGCGGGAAATAGAGACAGTTTCGGTTTGTGTTTCCAGGGTTGTCAGAAGTTGACGTTTGCAACATTTCTTCACCTCACTACGGCTAAACTAAAATGATTAGAACTATTTCTGACATCAGAAAAAAACAAATTTTCAATTTACAGTACAAAGAAAATATAATACTGTATATATTTTTTATGCACACCAGGAGATCGACCTAAAAACGAATGCACAGTTAATAGGGTTATGGGATGCAACAAAATTAACCCCATAAAACATACTGCTTTAATATTTATACAAAACTAGCATTGCCTGTATTAAAGACTTTTCAAGTACATTACATTTATAAATATGCTGTTACAAGCAGCTTTTTACATAATTATAAATAACTTCAACCCAACTAAGATGATATGTATTTGGATGGTAAAACTGAATTATGCCGTGGAGAGCTTTTTTTTTATTGTATATTTGTACATCATTTGCACGTTTCTTCTCCGAATACCACGATTAGATAAAAGTCGGTCCACGTTAGTTTGTCGTCATTATCGTGGCATCCAACTTGAGTCAAAACGGGAAACCTGCGTCTACAACAGCGGGTTATTTGGATCCTTAGGAAAAAGGCCAAGGGACTGAAGATATGCTGCTGCAGCATTAGCTTTTGCCATTTTCTTGGTTGATGCTGCTACTGATGGTTTAAATTCTTGGCCATTCACCATTACCTTTAAAAATAAAATATATTTTGTGTACAGTATATTATTATTATTATTATTATTATGTGATAAGTAGTAGACAAAAATTTTCAAATTGTTATTATTGTAAAAATAGTTTCTTTGATAAAGATGAGAGATGGGCAACAGAACGCAGAGGCTTTACACTGGACATGAGAATACTACCAACACGGGCAGCCTGAGTAGTCACATGGCAACCCTGTCTTTGTGGGTATAATTGTAGTACTCCTCGTGGTACTGTACTTCTCCCCATAGAGTGATGACAGAGAGAGGGGGGAGTGGGGGAAGGAAAAAGAGAGAGAGGAGAAAGAGAAGAGAGAGGAGAAAGAAAGAGGAGAGAGGAGAAAGAGAGAGAAGAGAAAGAAAGAGGAGAAAGAAAGAAAGAGGAGAGAAAAGAAAGAGGATAGAGAAAAGAAAGAGGGTAGAGAAAAGAGAGAGGATAGAAAAGAGAGAGAGAGACTCCAAGTGGATGTTTAGGTAGTACTCCAAGTGGATGTTTAGGTAGTACTCCAAGTGGATGTTTAGGTAGTATGTACTCCATTTGGCCATAAAAGAAGCACAGTTCATCTCACACAAGACACTGGAGCTAGATCATATAACAACTTTCGAAGCATTCAGAGAGATCTGGGAGGCTAGTCCCAGATCTGGGATGGGATGTTCGACAGTCCAAGACCTTTCTTCACTACAAGTTCTCAGGTAATTACAAGAAATAGACAATTTCTTCAGATGCACCCTATGATTAGCACCACTCTTAATGTCTCAATTAATGCCATCTTACATATGAAAATGTGCAAAGAGTAAGTCACGATAATATGGGAGAAAATGAACAAATCAATGCCACACATGAAAAGAAAGAAAATGGCAACGTTTTGGTCCAGCCTGAATGTTTACAATGATGTGTCTGTCACAGGTATTGTTACTCTAAGTTTACATCACTTGAGACTCCACGTATGGCAACATCACTCTAGACTCCACATATGGCAACATCACTCTAGACTCCACATATGGCAACATCACTCTAGACTCCACATATGGCAACATCACTCTAGACTCCACATATGGCAACATCACTCTAGACTCCACATATGACAACATCACTCTAGACTCCACATATGGCAACATCACTCTAGACTCCACATATGGCAACATCACTCTAGACTCCACATATGGCAACATCACTCTAGACTCCACATATGGCAACAATACCTAAAAGTTGGGGGTGGTTAGTTGTCTATAATGAGACCTACAAGTGGAATGTGTAGGGCTCTACGGTGAGATCTACAAGGTACTACACTCTACTGATACACACTTTCTCTCACAACTTGTATGCGATAATGAACTAACCTTCATGAGAAAATTCTTTTTGTGATCCGGACCACAGTCGAACACCATCTCAAAGTCGGGCGGGGACCACTTTCTTTTGGAGCACAGCTCTACCAGCGCTGAAACTGGATGTTTACCTGAAAACACAAAGTTAATCACAGAAGGTGAAATGAAGGTAATTCATGTCAGACTGAACAACATCATCTACAGCCTGGTTAATCAAACCATAACCAGAATGCCTGGTCAGAGACTGGGCCGCAGGAAGATTAGTTGTAGGAACCGTTACAACGTTTACCATTTGAAAGAAACAAGTCCAAAATTGCCTAACACTACAAGCAGAGGCAAGTGATCAAAAAATCCACCACTGAATGTAGTAATAATATGCCATTTTCTGGTAGTGTGCCAGTGGCTCCCTGAAGTTATCTTGCTGAGATTGCTTCCTCCTATTGGATCACATTAGTCAGAGGAGTTGTGTTTGGCCAATTCCCTATCACTAGCACACGACAGGGAATCAATGTACACAAAGCACTAACAGCATGCATCGAGCACAATCGTACATACATACACCATAGGCCACTGTGCATAGAAACAATGCTTTAATGTAGAAAAACGTCACATAATGAAAGAAGTGGGCATCTGCCTTCATAAAGATAAGCAGACTGTGACATGCTCTAGGTTTGGGATGCCAGACACCTCACACGTGGTGTCTGGAGGTGCGTTGGCACGTTGGCTCAGCCTCGTAACTGAGAGGTTACGAGGCTTTACTTGCCACTTGCTGCTGACACAAAGTAAACATTGGAAGGATCAGAGTCATTATAGATGTGCCTCTGAAACACATTCTGCCTCAAAAATAAGATTTTTCTCCACTCCCCCCCCCCCCCCCATCCCCCCATATAACTGTATATGATTCTTCTGAGATGTTTGTAAAGTTTCCGGTGGTGCGTTCAAGCTCCTGAGTGTCATCCTACTTAACTGTTAATAAATATTGTCTATAAGACAGTAGATTCTTACTTTATGGAGCAACCATATGGATGGGCTAAGAAACATACTTGATCACTAATGTTTGCATCAAAGCTTAGGAATACAGCTTACCAGAGAGATCCTTAGCTAAGGGTATTGGTTGTTTCTTTGGCGTCAGTTCCTCTTGAGCATGAAAACCTGAAAATAAAAATCCAGTGTTGAAATAGAATGAAATGTCTCTTTCTGATGGGTCCCCCCAGACCCCTATGGAGGTGATAGACACCTCCAAAGGATACCTGATCAACAAGGCTGTGACTCATACGTCAGGATGCGAGCAGCCGCATCCAACAGCCTGGTTGACCAGACCAGCAACGAGGAGGCCTGGCGAGGACAGGGCGGCGGAGACGCCGAGCCACAAAATCATCGCAAGGTAAGGTTCCCTCATTGGCTTGCTGAGTTAGCTGCCTTGTACATCCCAAGCCTCTTATACTCCACCAGGCTCTTGAGTCATAGGCGCCTACCGCAGCCACAAGGGACTGGTAGGGTATAAGACCTGGAGTTAAGCAGGTGTCTAGCTCACACAGCCTTCCCAGAAAACAAAATATTTTGCTTTATACCAGCTAAAAATCCAAAAATTCAACCTTAAATTTTTAAATACTGCATTACAAAATCAAGAATGCAATGTTTTAAGTTGAGTGCAAATATTGAGGCCGTACAGTGGGATCAAACCTCGCATTACTGGACTCTCTTTCTTCAATATTGAATATACGGGTATTTTATATACAGTCACAAAAGAGATTCTTATTGTTGCATCCCACTCTAACCATCGTCACTACAATATTTACCTTTTTTATCCATTTTGACGTCCAGCAGCAGAGGCTCAATTGTTCCTTCCTTGTTCTTTCCCAAGCCTTCCCCCGGGGACCAGCCCATCTTCTGCAACATCTTGAGACCAAACTGTGGCTTAATAGGTGCAGCTTCTTTTAGTTGTTCCTAGAGGGGTCACCAGGGAATACAAGGATGACGAAGATTAGTGCGTGAAGTATACAGAGCCACAACTCTTAGAGAAGTTGCTTTACTGTCTGGCAAATGCCATGAAGCCTTAGCAAGAATACTGTATACACAGGTTTCACAGATTTAATGTGGTCAACATCATCACAAGTGACAATACTAAGTATATTCAAGCTGCACAAGTTTACTAGGATCAGCACCGTTACCGGAGCAACACTGCTCACATTCCAACACACTGCACATATATACTCAGGTTCTGCAGGTTCAATATGATGATCATCATCATCATGCCAATGTCAATGCTGAGATTCAAGCACTACACAGTACTTGGGTCCCACAGGAGCTCATCATCATCATCATGGTGATGAGCGATCATGATGAGATACCACAGCACTGGGTATACTCAGGCTCACAGATGTAATATGACCAGTATTGTTACGAGCGATGATGCTGAGATACCACAGCACTGGGTATACTCAGGCTCACAGATGTAATATGACCAGTATTGTTACGAGCGATGATGCTGAGATACCACGGCACTGACAGCTTGGCAGTTCTTTAAGAGTTTTGGTTTTAGACAATTCTCTATCCTAACAAGGTATCAAACCTTTTGACTAACATTTACAATTCAGCAGCACTGATAAAAGCTTTTAAAAATCTACTACATTAACTTAATGTCTCACATTTCAGTAAATAATTTTTAAAAATCATATTTTAGAATTTAACAATTTATAACTACCACATAAATGACACATTAGAGAAAAATCTAGAGAGCTTAAGAATCTCGTCCAAGAACAATGACTAAGAATGCACAAACAATGATGAGAACGATCACGTTGTTAAGAAATATAATTAAAGAAAGAAAAATTCAATATCCTTTCCCTCGAGGATGAACAATTAGCTTGGCTTTCGAAAACTTTTTTTATAGGAAAATATATGCTTGCCATTTAAGAAACAAATTCTTATGTTATTTAAGTCTCATTTGTTAAATTTTTTCCATAAATAATAAAGAAAAATAGTCTAAGTTATGAATAACCTACAAAGAAATTTAATTGCTAATCTCCAAAGCAGCAAATTCTTGCCTACATGAGAAACATGCAACATAACGACAACGTTGTTCAGCGTTATTACATCGTCACAACACCGTAACAATGTAAAAATGATCAAAATAGCATCGTGGTTACATTGCGTGTTTGCTACAATTAACGCTACTTATACCTGGTGACTCACCAAAATGCCGACTCACTCACCCGTCACCAGCCGCCGCCAGACAACACCTTAGGCCCCACAGCTGTCTGTTGCCAGAACCCGGATGCACTAACGAGATGGAGCGGAGGCTTGGGAGGATCTGTAACAAGCTCTCTCTTCACTGGGCCCAAGATGGGAAGCCAGCGGGATTTTCCCTCTTATGATTCATCCTGCCAAGATGCACTCTTACGAACTCTCATATTCTCTCACATTTGTGACTACTCAACATGAACTTTACAAATATTTGATATTATCAGAAAATCCCAATCAATAGTAAGATGAGAGCTTGTTACAGACCCCATTCACGACAGACTAGGGGTCAGTGTACCAATGGTTCCACTGGCCCTTATCCTGCGTGAACACTGTTGAAATAACCATAGATTGGTTCAAATTATTTGAGTGCCGACACTACTAGGAACCAGAATATTGGATCAACTCAGGAGACATTCTAGCAAATAAAAACTTTTTTCATTGGAAAACCAATAAAATTATATATTTTCTTTCTGACAACAGACTGTCATACAAGTGGGAACAATATCTATAAAAAATGAAATTAAACTAAAAATAAATAAAAAGTAAAAATGCTTCATGTCACGACAGAGTCCATCAATATCCTGGTTCCTAGCAGTGTCTGTAGACTCGGGTATCCTCTTGCAGTGCGGCAGGACATCACGGCCCCGGAGCTGATTTTCCCAGCAGCTTCACCTCGGTGACAAGTTGGGACCTGAAACACAACAGTCTAGGGGCTGGAGTGGACCGGAGGCCGAGTCAAATACCCACAAGGGAGCTGACACTTCCTTACTAACAATTAACCATGACCTCTACCCTGACCAATTGAAACGCTAAACAACAGATTACCAAACATCGAGTCTAAGGATAATCAAACAAAAATGACGGAGGAAGCTGGAAACAGTACTTCATGGGAACCAAAACAAAGAAACTGTATCTACACACATCAGTGCCACTCAAATGGATATTACTCTGACCCAATGAATCACTCAATCAAGCTTCCTGTACAAGAAAAAGAGCTAAAAATACAGGAATAATTTTGTGAATCGTACAAATGATATATATATATATAAGTATGCATATATATATCAGACCTCAGTGACACATCCAGCCCCCCTAACATCCCAGCGTGATAAGAGCAAACTCAAGAGTACGCAGCATGCCTACCTTCCTGGCCCAAGCTTGATGACCCGCTGACAGCTCTTCCTGAGATAAAACCTTCACCCCCGTTGTCCCTGTGAACTGACCTGGTGCTGGTTCCTGCTTACTCAAAGCCCAGTTTTGCATCTGTTGAAACAAAAGTCCCTCATCTTCATTCACTTCATGCCCAAAACTGGTAGCTTTATATAACAAGTGTTCTCTATTGTCTATTAATAAAGCCGTATTATTATCATTCTTACTCTGATCATTGGATATTCAAACTCCAGCCTAAAAAGTATGTGTGTGTTGCAGGGTTGGTAAAAAAAAAACCTTGGTATTTTCTTATAACCCAACCAGCCTGGTTTGGGGTGGGTTGGGTTAAAAATAACAGTGATATACCAGTGAACAATAACAGTGATATACCAGTGAACAATAACAATGATATACCAGTGAACAATAACAGTGATATACCAGTGAACAATAACAATGATATACCAGTGAACAATAACAATGATATACCAGTGAACAATAACAATGATATACCAGTGAACAATAACAATGATATACCAGTGACCAATAACAATAATATACCAGTAAACAGTAACAATAATATACCAGTAAACAGTAACAATGATATAGCACCAATAAGTATCCATAACACTACAACAACAGAAGTAATTTGCCGGCAGCAAAACACTCACCTCTTTCTGCACATTATGAAGTGTCTTAATAGCTTCACTATCGTGAGGGTTGTCCTGAAGCTTCCGCATGGCGCTCAGCCGCGTTGACACGATCTGCGAGATGTCCACGGCCTGCTGAAATAAATCCAGGACTGAACGTAATGAAATGCCGCTTTCTGGTGGGTCCGTCGGTGGTTCCTAAGCCACTAAGGAGAGCCTTCAGAGAAACAAGACTGGTTACTATGAATAAAATGTGCGTGTGAATACCAGGAACAGTGTAATAAAACTATTGTCTTATAATACATAAATAATCAACCCTCCTACACTTGAAAATATGTAAGTGAATGTGACTACATTTTGGTCCGTTCTGGACCCTTATCAGGTCTTATATTCTTATTCTTTCCTTAATTTACTACAGCACAACCACACACTTTACATATTAATTGCAATTATATGTTGCACTTTCGAGTTCTAGGTTGAATTATTGTTTGATGCATGTTTTAAAGTCTGAATGGAAAATACAATATACAGTACTGTACCACATTTAAGATTATGCATGCATTCAAGCCTTTAACGCGGTCATGGAGTAAATGTTAGAAGCATTAGCATTATTATGATTCGCACCGCTGCACACAATAAGAGACTGGGTGTGCAACCCGTTCTCCTAACAGAGCGTCCCATTTTGACGTTTACTCTACCTAAGGGCAAAAATTGTCATACTAGAAAATGGTAGTAGCTCGCGAAATTGACATACTGTCCTGTTTTCTGTTTTAGGTCCTCTGGTAGGTTAGGATAAGGGCACTTTAGTACGACAGTTTCTTGACGTTGGGGAAACCTTAGGGGGTGCGGCCTGTGGTGAAACCCCAGCACGATCACGGAACACTGAAATAACTGTACACACTAAAGACAAGTAATTTCCTTGTTTAAATTTGCTTTGGATTTTTGTTTTATTTTGGACAGATACAGTATAAGCCCTTCATGTTTGGAAGGTCTTATAATTATTAATATAAGACATTTAACATGGTAATGATTGTGACTGTTAGCAAGCTCTTTCCTTGTCCCATGGTAATGTTTGTGACTGTTAGCAAGCTCTTTCCTTGTCCCATGGTAATGTTTGTGACTGTTAGCAAGCTCTTTCCTTGTCCCATGGTAATGTTAGTGACTGGTTAGTTACAACAATATCATGAAGAAGTTAATATAGGAGGGAAGAGAACAGTACGTCTATTGTCCTTACCTGAGGTTGTGTAAGAGAACAGTACGTCTATTGTCCTTACCTGAGGTTGCCAAGAGAACAGTACGTCTATTGTCCTTACCTGAGGTTGTCAAGAGAACAGTACGTCTATTGTCCTTACCTGAGGTTGCCAAGAGAACAGTACGTCTATTGTCCTTACCTGAGGTTGTCAAGAGAACAGTACGTCTATTGTCCTTACCTGAGGTTGTCAAGAGAACAGTACGTCTATTGTCCTTACCTGAGGTTGTCAAGAGAACAGTACGTCTATTGTCCTTACCTGAGGTTGTCAAGAGAACAGTACGTCTATTGTCCTTACCTGAGGTTGTCAAGAGAACAGTACGTCTATTGTCCTTACCTGAGGTTGTCAAGAGAACAGTACGTCTATTGTCCTTACCTGAGGTTGTCAAGAGAACAGTACGTCTATTGTCCTTACCTGAGGTTGTCAAGAGAACAGTACGTCTATTGTCCTTACCTGAGGTTGTCAAGAGAACAGTACGTCTATTGTCCTTACCTGAGGTTGTCAAGAGAACAGTACGTCTATTGTCCTTACCTGAGGTTCCGATTGAGGAAACACTTTGTCCTCCTCTTTCTTCTCCTTGGGAGGGACAGGAACCCAATCGCTCTCTGGAATGCAGCACAAATAGACTTGCATGATGGCAAACCATATTTAATTTATATAAACAAGATTATGTGTTCTCTCGCTACGACTCCTTCAAAGTCACTTTCAATAAATACATCATGAAACCTACTATACTTGATTCTCCACAAAATGCGCGGGTAAATTTGGTGTCTTATATACCAGCAAATACAGTAATTTATGAGAATGGTTATGTTGATCTGATCCTATTTATAATTACTGTACTGTACATGATACTATATGAATAGAGCAATTTTCTTCCGTTATTATAAAGAATACCTAAAACAAATCACACATACATGACAAAACATTATACTGTACAATATTGTATTGAATATGAACCCCAAAGGTATAATGATCACAGCTTACCTAAATAATATTACTTGTTCAGCACTGAAAGCAATGTGGCATAAATAAAATAATCAAACAATTCATTTTCTGACCATCGTTATACACTGACGACTCAACACCTGTGTCCAAAACCCTGGCTCCAGACTTTTGAAATTTGGCCAACTGACTGTCCAACTCATGCTTGAAACAATCAAGGGACCCAACCTCCACCATGTTACGCGGTAATTGGCTCCACAAATCAACAACCCTGTTACTGAACCAGTATTTACGCGGGCTTTTCCTAAACCTAAACTTATCCAATTTATACCTATAGTTTCGTGTTCTGTCTTGTGTTGATACTTTTAATATCCTATTAATATCCCCTTTGTTATGCCCATTCATCCACTTGTAAACCTCTATCCCTAAATTTTTGTTTTTCTAGAAAATGTAATTTAAGCTTTGTCAATCTTTCTTCATATGACAGGTTTCTAATTTGGGGGATTAACTTTGTCTTCCTACGCTGGATGCGTTCTAGTGAATTTATATCCGTTCTATAGTACAACGATCAAAATTGAACTACATAATCTAAATGGGGCCTAACCAGAGCAAGATATAGCTGAAGAACAACACCAGGTGTCTTGTTAGTAACGCTTCGATTAATAAATCCCAGTGTCTTATTTGCCTTATCGTAATGTCCCTGATAATGTCTTCATTGTTTGTGAAGACCAGATCTAGAATATTTTTGTTCCTAGTTGGCTCTGATATCTGCTGGTCGAGTGAAAATTTGTCACAGAGTCTAAGTAATTCTCTAATCTGTGGTTGGTTATGTCCAGATAGATTTCCTGGTATAATATTATTGTTTGCTATTATTGTTACTATGTATTATTATATACTATTTTCACCTCTGCCCCTAGGTGAAATACCCTCTGCAGACAAAGGGTTTAATGATACTTTGGAACATAAGAACATAAGAATCAAGGTAACTGCAGAAGGCCTATTGGCCCATATTTAGAATTTACCTACTTAAAATTATCTGTTAGATTAAGGACCTGCCCGAAACGCTGGGCGTACTAGTGGCTTTACAAGAATGTAAATACTATGCTATGTATTCTCACAAACCCAATGTACCTTCTTTGTATATAAATAAATATGAGGCAGCTCCTACCTCCTGAAGAGGAACCCCTCCTCCGGCTTCCCTTCAGCCCCGGAGTTCACACACGAAGACTCAGGAGCAGAGCCATATTCCACATATTTTCCAGCTCATGCCCGACCCATATCCCAAGCAGGAAGGGACCGCTCATCAGTCTCCGACATTGAAGTGGATGGAGCAGACCCCAGGGGCAGCCGAGTTACACCTACACGCGTTGCATCCGGGTGAGCAACCAAGCGAGGGCGTTGCAACAACCAAAACCTAGGATGCAACGCCTGCGCAGCCTGTACCCGAAGATGATCATCCTCAGATTGGGTAAATTGAGTTACTAGCAAGCAACAATACTCACAGGACTCAGGGTCGAAAGTGTCACCGGCCCAACAGGCTGCGTGACTAAGGCAAAAACAGTGAGAGTCACCCTGAAACAAGGGGACCGAACAACCCTCAAACTCGCACGAAGTGAGGGGGGACCCCGGGGTCACATCCATCGGACTCACGCATCCCCTAGGGGATTCCCAGGGTCCTGAGCGTTTATTTGAAGAGGATTCTCGCTTAGGTAAACCCAGGCAGGGTACTGCTAACCGGCGCCCAAAACTACCAAACAAACTGTCTAAAGCCGAACCCCAGGGACGTGTACACTCACGGGGACCAAGCAGGGGACACCATCAAGTATCAGGGTGAGGCCAAACACCAGTGGCAAATAGGGCAGAACCCCCCACCAAGGCAAAAAGAAAAAGAAAACCCCGCAAGAGGACAACGTACCCCAAGGAACAGAGCCGGCCGCTGTGATAGGCGACAACTAGCTGCACAGCACTCTGCGCCCCTTACCAGTGCAAAAACTGCTTCTTACCCTAAGGTAAACTAGGGAAACAAAACACCCAAGTACCCAAAGGGCGGCCGAAAAACCAAGCAGCAAAACGGACACACAGAGGCAGACCCCGAGGAACTTGTGGAAGGTAACCCCAAGCCCCAAGGGCTGTACTTACAAGACACCTAGGGAAGGGAACCCTAGGTGCATGCAGCACCTAGTACTGAGTACCGAGTGCTGAGGAATATCCCGAGTACTGAGGAATAACTCCTGGCTCTCACACCCCTGGAGAACAGCCGCCACACACAAGGCACAGCGCCGTAAAAATCTGGAGCCAGAGCACACAACTGCTGCCTATAGCATCAGCAGCAAGAACTGGGGTGTGGATCGCTGGCGCGACAGATCTGGGGCCTCCCCCTTTCCCCTCCCGGGGAGGGGGGAGCTGCACAAACGGCAGCGCGGCAACGGGTGACGTCACACTAGTTTGCTCATTTTTGTTTGGGTGAGTTCTATCCACTTGTTCGGCTTTTGGTAGCAATATTTTCACCAAAATAGGGGTTTGTTTTGGGATGCTTACCTTTCTGGGTGCCTGACCCGGTCGATGGCAGACATAGAATGTTTCCAACCACATGGGAGCTTCTATAGGCCATTGCTCCCCTTGCCTCTCTGAGGGGACCAGGTTCTGGCCGTGGTCCCCGGTAGGCCCAAAGAACTCCATACACATGATTGATGCCAAAGTCTGACATTAGCATATCAGCCTGGATAGCTCCGGGGAGCCGTAAGGGCTTCCTCCAGAAAATGAAGTTATTTGATAAAATAACTATGACCAAGATTACCATCAAAGTGCCGTCGGGATGATAGCCAAGTTTTCATGAATTAATGTTTTTTCGTCTACCTAACCTACCTAACCTAACCTAACCTAGCTTTTTTTGGCTACCTAACCTAACCTTACCTATAAATATAGGTTAGGTTAGGTTAGGTAGGGTTGGTTAGGTTCGGTCATATATCTACGTTAATTTTAACTCCAATAAAAAAAAATTGACCTCATACATAGAGAAAAGGGTTGCTTTATCATTTCATAAGAAAAAAATTATAGTAAATATATTAATTCAGGAAAACTTGGCTTATTAGGCAAATCGGGCCTTGAATAGTAGGCTGAGAAGTGAGTTTTGGCTACTAGGTACGACATATATATATATATATATATATATATATATATATATATATATATATATATATATATATATATATATATATTATTAAATATGACCGAAAAAGTAAGATTAATAATTCTAACACGAATTTTCTCAATCTTTCGTACATTTCTTTTCACTGTTGGAGGTAATTCAAAAATCAATTCTCCAAAATTCATTTTTATTTCTAGTCTGACGCGACACTTGAGCGCATTTCGTAAAACTTATTACATTTTCAAAGACTTTACACATACACAACTGAATAGAACTTACATATCTCCGATTTGTTTATATGAATGAATACCCTATTAAATACCACCTCACCCCATCCACCTCACTCAAATGTAGATATAAACAAATCGGAGATATGTAAGTTCTATTCAGTTGTGTATGTGTAAAGTCTTTGAAAATGTAATAAGTTTTATGAAACGCGCTCAAGTGTCGCGTCAGACTAGAAATAAAAATGAATTTTGGAGAATTGATTTTTGAATTACCTCCAACAGTGAAAAGAAATGTACGAAAGATTGAGAAAATTCGTGTTAGAATTAATAATCTTACTTTTTTGGTCATATTTAATAATATATGTCTACAGGAAAGACTGCTACCAAAATATACTAATATATATATATATATATATATATATATATATATATATATATATATATAT